CCCCAAAACCCCAAAACCCCAAAACCCCAAAACCCCTTAGATAGCATCAATGGAAATTTAAGTACTTAAATAATCAAAAATTGCTTAAATGCTGCTTCATAGATTAATAAGTTAAGGCCTGTGTATATCAAAGCAAGTCTCATTTCCTAGATCACTTATCATTCAAGAAGTCTGTGTCTGAAGTCGACATCTAGTCTGAGATTCTGAGCAGCTTGGATGTTATCTCTTCTGATATTCATGATGAATTCGACTCTATTGGGCTGGATCACTTTCTTTATTAGATTGTTTGTGGTACTTCTAGCGCAGTTGCCTATTCTACCAACATTGAATGTAACTTCAATCGGCACTGTTGTTCTATTTTCACATCCAAACATATAAGCGTCAATGGGGGAACTAAGAAAATGATTATAATTTAGATAGACTTACCTCTTGGGATAGTAAAGTAAACAGCAGTCAGCTTTATTATCTAAGATGCTTGCTCTTTCTCTGAGAATCATAGACTGAGCTGCTTCTTCTAGGTTTGTTGAAACTGTATCGCCTACTTAAACACTCAAGACTTGTTCTGAGTGCATTGTCAAAATAAAGCTCCTTGAAAAACTGCTGTATAGTTCCTTGTCATAGCCTAATTTAGATAACCAATCTCTAACTTTTTCTTCTCCTGGACTATGGGTAACTGCTTCTCTCATAAACTCCTTGAAGCCTTTGAGTGTTAATCCTTTACCTTTGCTGCAATAATTACTCAGTATTTTGTTTTAGAATTCAACTTCAGTGATGGTCTCTCCAACAGTTTCAAAGAAGTCCTTGAACTCATTGAAATCAATCGAATTAGTAATCAGGGTATCGTATCTATAGTATATGTCTTCAATGGCTCCTTCAAATAATTCACTCAACTGATCTTGGTTGCCTTGAATGAGTGGCACCACTTGCACATTTGAATTGGCTGGTCTTTGTAAAGCGATTCCATTAGTTCTAGGGAGAATCACATATTGTCCTGGCTCAAGGATAGTCTCAAATTCTGTATCTCTGTTATTCAAGAAGTCCTGAACCTCGTGAAGTGTGGTACCTTCAGCAGATCTCTTCAGGATCAGGAAAGCAGTATCTAGATACTAGCGTCTAGGTAGTACTCTCTTGATTCTTTCATCAATCTAATGTAATCCTAAGAGCAAATGTGTCTTTTTCTCTATCTCTAAGTAATAGAACCATTTTGATACAACTTAGGATGAAAGAGATTCTTGGTCCTCAACTCTAACAAATTTACCCTTTAGTCTGATCTCATTTTGTTGTTTGACCTTGCATACGTTCAAAGCTGAGAAATTTTTAATGAAGTCATCGTAGCACATCCAGAAAGTGCCATCATCTTGCTCTAGTTTTGGTTGTAATATTTCCTTGATATCTGGGGTCCAGAATGCACTCTTTCTTGACCAGGCACCATCCCATTCGAAGTAACCCCATAGATTACGAATATTTATCAGTTTATGTGAATAGACCTCTCTCACTTCCACAATCGAGTATGTATGTCCAGATTATAAAGCATTTTCTTTGTCTCTTGGTCTTTAATTGGTAGCAGTGTCAATTTTGCCAGGAGCTGTTGTAGACAGGAGATAACCCTCTTGCTAGAAGTGAATCATCATCTTGAATAAATCTCCACTCTTAACGAAGGCTTCAGTCTCTTAGTCTTGGAAATCATAGACTACATTTGGGAATCCAGTAAAATCTTGAAGTGCCTCATTTGGATGGCCAACTTTAAGGCTTTCATAACTTCCATGTACCTTGGCATATGCTTTTTCAAGAAGTTGAACCCACAATTCATTTCCATGAGTTCTAGTGAATAAAGGCTGACCTTCGAGAGCACAGGGCATATAATCATCAATAGTGAGTTCATGCCAGACACCGCTCTTGTTTATCTTCATTCTATATGCTCCATTCAACTTGTACTCCTTTGTCACAAATAATCTCTCAACTAAGTGTGATCTCTCAGCAAGTGTAGCAAGGGCGCACAAAATCCATCTATAAGAATGGGGACCTGCCTTGATATCAGATGGCTCAACCTCTTTGTGGAACACTTTGATGGACTAGTGTTCGGCCTAATTCTTATCAATGTGCATAAAATCAACTGGTCTTCTCCAGTGCACAACTAGATCACTCTGTTATCCACTATAAATATCATTAAAATCTTTTTTATCTAGCATAGATTGATATTGATAGGTTAAATTTCTTTCGAACTTACTTAAAAATGCTATCATCACATGGTGGGAATTCAGGGTCTAGGAAGTTCTTCATGGTGTTTTCGAACATTAACTATTCAATCTCCTCAAATGGACTTTCTGCTAATGGATATAATCTGAATATTTTCTTCGATCTCTCAATCAATGAATTTAGATTGGCATGGGCTTTCTTCTTGTAAAGCACTAGTCTCTCTTTTGGTGGTTCTTATTTAACCCAGTAAATTTGCCAAAGCAATCTAGAATGTGGGAACTCTTTTACGACTGCAATAGTCTCAGCACACTCAGCCTTAACTAAACTTGATATTACCTAAGTCTCCTCAGTATTCTCAATCATTATGTCCTCTGAGCCAGTAAAGTCAATAGTGAAAACTAGTTCAACGAGAATCTTAGTCTCAACCTATTAATTGAATTATTTGCCTTTATATAGATACTGTAAAAACATGAAGAGTCACTGGGTCACCTTCAGGGGTTTATTAGTTCATGACTTTGATATGAAGGTAAATTCCTTTTTCGATTTCTTGAGTTTCCTCTGAAGTGTTAGCTGAAGTACTCATATTTATTTAAGATATTATATACGTTCAATATAGCAATTAATTTCAATATTTATTTTTATTTTGCTTATTTATATTTTATTCATCCTCCTGGGGTTTTGGGGTTTTGGGGTTTTGGGG